TAATCTTTATAAGTATAGTATGTTCTCAATATTATGTAATTATCGCACATCTATTTCATGTATAGGCATCATGTATGCATTTATAGGATTTTTAGATTTTTATATGATTTTTCTTATTATTAAGAATATTTAAATATATTAATATTTGACCGCTATTTGACTGTGCGCTATTTGCCGCTATTTTGCCGCAATAGCGCGCAATAGCCTAAGCGGTACCTCGCCGCGACGCGACGCAATCCGCTATCAACAACCTTGTTAATAATACAATACTGAAAAATTATCATGTAGTAGATTAATTAAGCTCATAAATAATATTGACTGATAGACATACAAAAATAATTCACATCTTCCCGTTCCTTTAAAGAATTGTTTATGAGGAAAGGACTATTGTCGATCCAAGAACAAAGCATATATATCACAGACCCTCAGTTTTAGTTTGATGATATCGATGCTCTGTTGCATCGCAAGACAGAGTAGATGCTAGTTTTGATGTTTGATGCGATGCGATTGATATTTGATCATTTCTAGTCTTGTATTATTTTAGAGCTTCTTAGTACATTGATTCATATTTCATTGTATATTTTGAGATTGCACAATAAACATGTTGTATCTTACAATTATTTGCCAAGGTATTTTCTTGGATTTTTGTGATGCTAAAAGTGAATGTACTTGTAAATGCTGCTATATCTAGTAATGTTTTCTTGCATCCTGAAGAGCATGGAGCTATGATATTCACGATCCAATGTCGCTGTCTATTCTTAAGTTGTAGATTAGAGGGAGTGTATGATTTATCAGTCTTTGAACTAAACATCTAGTGATGTATCAACATGTTATATTATCAGCTTTAGGACTTTTTTGTGATACTCATACAAGTGATGGATGAAGCAAACATTTGATTATGTTCACAAGAGATGGTCATTAATTACTTCCAAGTTTTCACTTATAGCCTATTTAATTTTTGATCGATCTTGCTTGGTTTAGTTGTGTCTAATTGTCGATAGGCCCCTATAGTTTTAATCGTGCCGATGTATGTCACAGACCCTCAGCTTCAGTTTGATGATATTGGTGATTTGTTCCATTGCAAGATTAGAGTAGATGCTAGTTTTGATCTTTGATGACATATATGTGTATTTTCTCATCTTCGCGTTCTTCTAACTCTGTTTACCATTGATGAATATGACTACATGCTCTTTGTTTTATTTTAGGCTAGTGATAATCCAACAACTATATGAGAACTCGCAGGGCATAAACTGAAATGTATGTCTTAGATGATCTCATAAAAACAAATACTGCATAACAAAAATGCATAGTTTATGGCTTAGTTATTACTGTTGCATCTTTCCTTGTTTGTCTTTAATTTGACACCTTCAAAAACGGATTCGGATCCTCTCCACTACAAAAAAAATAGTGGAGGGACCACTACATAATCACAGCCATTGATTATCTAGTTGATGGTTATGATTTTTTTTAGTGCAAATTAGGAATGAGTGCAATACACGGGGGTATGGTAAGTGTTAGATTTAGATTGTATCATAACCGCCTACTAAATAATTAACGCTTGAGATTAAAAGTAGTGGTCTCTCCACTACTTTTTTGTAGTGAAGAGGATCCAAATCCTTCAAAAACAGTCCTCTCCTTAATAATATGAATAAATAACACTTTAATAAAGTATAGAGATCTCTATTGCTATGTCATTGAGGGACCAATTTTAGTATGAAGCACAAATACAGGGACCAGATCTTTTAGCCAAACCAAATCAACTATTCAGTAGGAAATAGGAATTATATACATTTCCACAGTCAAATAAAATTAACCAGCAAATTAGAGATCAAATTAGACAAGCTTAACATACCTATTTCCATTTTCTTCAGAATTTTGTTGTGCATCTGCAACGGGGTCGGAAGGGAAAAAAGAAGACTCCAAGGCAGAGCAAAGGGCGCAAGGCAAATCGTCTATTCGAGAAAAAAATTAAAAATATATTACATTGCCGCAGTCAAATAAAATTATCACGGAATCAATCGGAAAATTTGAGATCAAATTTTGACTAGCTTAAAGCACCTATTGCCAATCTTCTTTGGAATTTCGTCGAGTATTTGGCCCGGGGGACTTCAAGGGGACAAATTTTCAAAACCAACATGTTTTGAATCTTAATCTCAAAAAGACATGTTTGAAACTTAATTTCAAAAAATCGATCCAGTTTCAGCTAACTGGATCGATTTTTTGAAAAAAAGTTCCCAAACTTCACGGGAGTTAAAGTCCCGTGAAGTTTTTTACGTAACAAAACTTCACGGGACTTCAATTCCTATGAAATTTGAGAACTTTTTTTTTTCAAAAACCGATCCAGTTTCAGCCCAACTGAGTCAGTTTTTGAAATTAAGTTTAAAACAAGTTAATATTTGGGATTTTTTTGACAAAGAAGTCTGTTTTGAAAATTTGTCAGACTTCAAGGCCGATCGACAGGTGGAAGGAGGAAGAGCAGTGCAAGGGGCACTAGAATCTTTTTCTTGATATCGGGGATAAAAAAATCTAACAGGGATTTATAACGAGGAATGAGTTAAAAGAACGGACTACAATAGGTAAAGACATAACTGCCCTCCCTCCTTTTTCAGTTTATTTCCAAATTATCAGTTATTTGAAAATTTTTAAAAGATCTTATTAGGAAGTACCGAGGCAATCAGCTAGAACTATAGGTAGTCTGAAAAAGCCTGAACAAATTTAAAAGGGAAGGAGGAGGAGAAGGGAAAAAAAGACCTCCCCAAATTCGACCCATGAGAGGGCAGTAGGGGTGCATTCGGTCCGGATACGGCTCGAATATGATGCCTATCATATTCATATCCGTTTACTCATCTCGGATACAGATATGAATATATATATGCCTCGGTAAGAAAAATTTATATTCATATCCGTTAAAATCAGAGACGGTTACAGATATACATGAGGATATATAAGCGGATATGCATGCATATATAAAACGGATATGAGAAGGCTAGATAGTATTGAGAAAAACATAGTTCATGTGATACAAAAGAGTTCGTTAATATGTTCATTATAACTGAAAAGTTAAGATTAGACATCTTGATCATCAAAAATTTAACTGCAAATCCATAATATAAGAATCGAAACTATCGTAAAAGTATGAGTAATATGTATTCGAATATTTCGGATACGGAAACAGATATTTTACTATAAAACTATATCTGTAACCATATCCTATCAGTTATAAATTTGAGTAATCATATCCGGATCCTAATGAAGACGATTACGGATATTTCCTCGGATACGTATATGGTTTAGCACCCGAAGTCCATACACTTTCATAAAGAAAATTTCCTCAATGACCTAAAATATGGGACCAATAGAGGGGACAAGTGAGGTATCTCCCTCCTATTAGACAGGGCCGTACCTAGGAATTTTGGGGCCCAAGGCGAAATATTGGATGAGGCCTAAGTGATACAACTCATAATACATTTTATCTCATTCTTCTTACCTTTTGAGCGGCAAAATTACATATTATTTTCAATATCTTGTAACATGGTCGATCTTAAATAAGATTTTAGTAATTTTAATTTTGAAAAACTTCTTTCAGCGGAAGCAATTGTTACGAGTATAGTCAATAGTACACGATAAGCAATACAAGTATTTAGAAAAGAATCTAACCAGTTTATATAGTTCAACACTTCAATTGGACTATTAATCTCTATTTTTAAAATTTCCCTAAGCACTCTCAATTCTGAAAACAAATCAAGTCCATTAATATCTAAATGTTCATCATGTTTTAGTGCATTTTCGAGATTAAGATAATATGCTTTCAATTCAATATAATCTAAAGCTTTTAATTTTTTCAAATCAAACAAAAAACCAAATTTTTTTTCATACGTTTTAAATTGTTCAAACCTACTTTCAATTGAGCCAAGCGATTTATCAACTATGTATAAGAAATATTTAATACGAAAAGATTCTTCAGCGTTAAATGTTGTTTCATTACCAATATTTTCATCAAATTGTTTTTTTCTATGAATTTTACGTTTTTCACAAAATATAGGTTGTACGTCATTTCATTAGCAAGTTCTTTAGTTGAATTCAAAGCAGATATAAAAGCATTTTGTCTATAATTTTCTAAATATACAATAAGACCCTTTAATTGATCTATGACAATATCAATATGCATATCTTTAGATTGTAAGATTTTACTAACTGAATTAACAGCAAACAATATGTCATACCAAATATTCATAGCTATTAAGAATTCAAAATTTTTAATCTCATAAGTTGCTAAGCTATTAACTTCACTTTTTATCTTTGGATCTTTACTTTTTAAATAGGGTTAGGTTTATGCTTAAGTAACTAAGTTACATATATTATATATATGGGTGGGTGGGCCTTATCCAACTTGGGGCCCAAGGCAAAGGCCTTAGTTGCCTTATGCTAGGGCCGGCCCTGCTATTAGATAATGAGTTGGCCATCAGGTATCTCCCTCCTATTAGATAATGAGTTGGCCATCATTGATGGCCAACTCATTATCTAATAGGAGGGAGATACCTCACTTGTCCCCTCTATTGGTCCCATATTTTAGGTCATGTATTGTCCCCTCTATTGGTCCCATATTTTAGGTCATGTAGCAACGCTCTTTCATAAATAAATATCAAAAGCAAGTGGTGGCCAAATCAGCCATTTGATAACTCTCTCCTTATCGAAAGGCGAAGCGCCGTTACACACTCAGAGAGAAAGAGAGCGCGCGCTCAATAACAAAAATGGCGGTTTCTATTTCCCCCAATTTCCATCTCCCTCTAGTTTCTCGCCCTAGAAATCTCTCCGCAAAACTCCGCAAAACTTCTCTCGGAATCCCGACGACTCTCATCCATTATCGCTCGAGAAAACCGCTACCAATGAAGATCCGTGCCGCTTACGTGTCGGCTCCGGCGTCCGATCCTGATTCGGTCGACAGGGGCACGGCGTCCGTCGAGGCGGCGGCGTTCTCGGCGGG